GGATTAGGGATTCAGGGATTTAGGGTTTAGGGGTTAGGGATTAGGGATTTAGGGGTTTAGGGTTTAGGGCTTTTAAGGCTGAGGGCGCAGGGTACTTGCCCCGATGACTTAGCAACCGATTCTGAGGTTTAAGCCCTAACCCCTAAACCTCCTAAGACCTCCAACCCCCAGACCCTATAAACCCCAAACCCGAATCTTTAGGGCTTGGGGTTAAGGGGGTCTGGGGGTTTTAGGATTAGGGTTTAGGGTTTAGGGGAGGTTAGGGTTAGCCCCTAAACTCCCTGAACCCTAAACTTGCACGTCAACGACTTCTTTAAAGTGTAAACATAGCCGGAAAGAATCCCAGTCTCAATCTGAGCTACAATGAATGGCTTATGGTCCCTTTGAAGAGGTTCTAGGGGGTATATAGGGTTTAGGGTCCCTTTGGAAGGGTTTTCGGGGTTTATAGGGTTCAGGGTCCCTTTAAAAGGGTTATAGGGGTGTGTCTAAGGTTTAGGGTCCCTTTGAAGGGGTTATAGGGGGTATACAGGGTTCAGGGTCCCATTCAAGGGGTTACAGGTACATCGGGTTTAGGGTCCGTTTAAAGAGGTCATAGGGGGTATATCGGGTTTAGGGTCCCTTTAAAGGGGTTATAGGGGGTATGTAGGGTTTAGAACTTGAAGAGGTTATGGGGGGTATATAGGGTTCAGGGAGATTGGAGGACCAAATGCACAAGAAGATGGACAATCATCTGGAAACTAGTGTAACGTAGGGGACTATAGGAATGAATGTTGCCCATGTCATTAATGGACAGGGGTCTTTATTAGTATATATCTTATAGGGAATATACTAAACTGCCAAAAGGGCCCCCATGTCCACCCTTGATGATCCGTTGGTAAGCCCATTACTGACAGTACGTAGCTCATCTTCGTAATAAGCCGCAGAGACTGAATAGAGTCGTGGGAAGTGCATGTGATATCTGCAGAAAAAGCTCAAGGAATATTGCCAATGCTGCAGTCTCTCATGGCACAAGTTATTCCAAGAAACATGCAGTCGATGCCCTGCTCTTTAATTCCAAAAAAGGTAGGGATTGTCAAGCCCTTATGGTCCCGTTTGCAGGTTGTGGCTCCTACCAATTTATGGCCCCAAATCTATACAGCTCCCCGTACACGCTTTTAAAAAAATGACAACCTTGCAGATAGTAGAAAGAACCCTAGACTTGTAATGAAAGGATTATACTTAAGATTTCATTTGGGTTATACTGTAACAAAGATGAAAAATAAGATCCTAAGTAAGGGAGCTGCTCAGCATTGGGGGATGGGCTGTGTGTTGTCCTTCGGCGCGTCGCTAAGACTGCTCGCGTCCCTTCGTGTAGAACAGAAATGAGGCTATTCCTGAAAAAGGTCAGACTCAGACATAACTTTACCCCTCTGAACCCTAAACCCTAAACGTGACTAGAGGTTTTAGGTAGCTATGTGCCCTTTAAGGCCACTCCATTTTTTTTGCCTTAGGCAGGCCCTCGTCTCTGCTGAATCTGTCCTTGGCTGAACAGGGGTAGGGTTTGGGGGTTGGGGTTTAGGGGGGTTCAGGGAATAGGGGTAGGCCCCAAATGACAATGGTTTGGAATGCGCTATGCTAGTAACCATATATGGCTTTAAGATGGAACAACGATATAGGCAAGTTATTCAGCCCTCCAGGCAAATCCGGCTTCATAGCAAGTCTGATGATCCTTACACACAACATAGGGCCTCAATGCTACTAAGAAACGTCTTTGGAAGGTATACCGTGCCATGCTTGCATGAGGAATGCCAGGGTTACTAGTAGAGGAGATGTTTCTAGGTATTCAGGCTCCTACATAAATCCTCCGCTATAAGCTTCTTCTTAGGACAAGCTTTGGAGCTTCACGGGCGGTAGTCAGGCATGTTCATTAAGCCACTAGTACATCCTCTCATGGGTAATTAGCAAGAAAATAATGTTTTTTTTTCCGGGAAGCCCCTATGATTAGGGTTTTAATATCTTGGGGGCACTTTGTTTGTCCAAATTTAAACAGGCTGCTTGCGAGCGGATGATGAAGATGTCTCAGCAGCTTAAATCGGACCATAGGAAACGCAACAAGAACTACAACATTGATTTCAACCACAGTCCCCCTATTCCCTCGTAACTGGGTTGCTGCTAAGGAAC